TATTATTTATATATAATCACTCAATTATTTACAGATTTACAAACTATAAAAACTAAAATAACAAAAAACAACAAGTCTTGATTAAATATGTCTGCAGATTGTCTCCACACATCAAATTACAGTGATTCACATCTTCCTCCTCCTCCTCCTCCTCCTCCTCCTCCTCCTCCCTTCCTCCTCTTCCTCCTCCAGAGGAGTTACAGTGTTTCAGGCTCCTACCGACTGGGAGATCAGCTGTACAGCCACCATCACTGCAGGTACCTGAACACATCAGAGGCAGTTATATCCTAATTCAGGGTCTCAGGTTTTAGCTCGCTCTCTGTGTCCCCCCCCCGCAGCGGTCTGACGGGTCGGACGCTGTCTCTGGGTTCGGGGGGCTGGGATGGTGAAGGAGGCGCGGTCCACTTCCCCCCCCACCACTACGCCTGGACCCGACGAGAGAGAGGAGGAGACGGGAGGAGACTGTGGTAAAAGAACATCTGAACTGTAGTTTTAATGTCTGTGTTCACTGCTAATGTTAGTATGCTGTGTGTTCAGGGTCGGCGAGGACGGATGTGGGAGAACGTGGAGCAAAAGAAACCGTCGCCACCACAGCACTGAGGAGGAGGAGGAGGAGGAAGATGAGGAAGAGGAAGAGGAGGAAGAGGAGGGATTCTGGAGCAGCGCTGAGATGAGGAGACTCGTCTTCGCCCGGACACACACACCTGGTTCAGGTCTTCTCTCTGGTTGTTGCAACTTCCTGTCGCTGCTTCATAATAAAAGCCATTATCTCGCTTATGACCTCCTTCTCCCCCCCCGCAGAAACCCCCTCCTCCCCCCACTCCACCCCCTCCAGTCGCCGTGGCGACAGACAGCTGGGGGCGGACACCTTGAGGTTGAGGGCGGGGCTCTTCTGCGTGTTCCCGTATTTGGACGTGTGCTCGTTGCTGCGTGCGGCCGAGGTCGGCTCCGATTGGCGGTTCGTTGCCAGGCACCCGGCGGTTTGGACACGCCTCCGACTGGAGAACGCCAGGGTGTCGGCCGAGGTAGGAAACCTTCGCCATCAGGTTGTGATATCATGCTGACAGACTGAAGCTAAAGCTAACAGCTCCTGGATATAACTGACGGGCGACCGGTGAACCGAACAACTGAATAAAATGACATGTTTCTGTGTGTGTGTGTGTGTGTGTGTGTGTGTGTGTGTGTGTGTGTGTGTGTGTGTGTGTGTGTGTGTGTGTGTGTGTGTGTGTGTGTGTGTGTGTGTGTGTGTGTAGTTCCTGACCACGCTCTCTCAGTGGTGTACTCAAACTCAGTCTGTGGTTCTCAACAACCTGAAGCCTCGAAGCAGACGAGCCAACGAGACTCGAGAGGATTACCACAAAAACACTCGGTAACTGACCCCGACCCTGACCCCGACCCCGACCCTAACCCTACCCCGACCCTGACCCTAACCCTAACCCTACCCCGACCCTGACCCTTTCAGTCCTTTGAAGAAGACAAACACACAGTCGTCCTCACAAAGATACAAATACAAGAAACAAAAAGCCTATCTGACTTTTAAGCAGAATATTGTGTCAAGAGAAGAAGACGTGCTCCCTGAGTGCATTGTGGGTACTGTAGTTGACCTGTGTGTGTTTCAGGGGCAGTGTGGAGTTGGGGGTGGAGGCTCTGCTCCGGTCAGCAGGGGGCAGTCTGCTTCACCTGTCTGTCTCTCAGTGTCCTCACATCCTCACAGACAGGACGCTGTGGTTGGCGAGCTGCTACTGCAGGAACCTGCAGACGCTCACATACAGGTGACTGCTCACCTGTCTGTCTGCTCACCTGTCTGTTCACCTGTCTGTTCAACTGTCTGTCTGCTCACCTGTCTGTTCAACTGTCTGTATGTTCACCTGTCTGTCTGCTCACCTGTCTGTTCACCTGTCTGTTCACCTGTCTGTCTGTTCACCTATCTGTTCACCTGTCTGTTTGTTCACCTGTCTGTCTGCTCACCTGTCTGTCTGTTCATCTGTCTGTTCACCTGTCTGTCTGTTCACCTGTCTGTCTGTTGTCTTTCCGCCTGCAGGAGTTCTTCAGATCCTCTTGGTCACGAGGTTCTGTGGGCCCTGGGTGCGGGTTGCAGGAACATCAGCAGCCTGCAGGTGGCGCCGGCTCACCCCTGGTCAGTGACAGACACTGTCTGTCTGCCTGCCTGTCTGTCTGTCTGTCTGTCTGTCTGTCTGTCTGTCTGATCACTCATGATAAATACTGATATATCCAATCACAGTCATCAATAACCAGGTTTATTTCTGTCTTACAGCCAACAACCGACTCGCTTCGGAAACCGCTGCCTGCAGACGATTGGTCGATGTTGGCCACACCTCCGCTCGCTCAGTGTGGGCGGGGTCGGCTGTGGGACTCAGGGATTGGTTGCTTTAAGTGAGTAAAAAACAACTAAATAAATAATGTTTTGTTGACCTTTGCAGCTTTTCGTTAATACAGAAGACAAGAACGGCTGAAATTGTTTTTAATTATTTTAAATGTCGTTATCTCTATAAAACGAGCTTTGTGTGCAGTAGATGTATCATTGGTTGAGTTATTGTGTGTGTGTGTGTTGTGTGTGTGTGTGCGGTGCGTGTGCGTGAGCGCAGTGCGTAGCTGTGCTCATCTGCAAGTGTTGGAGTTGGAGCGTATTACAGACCTCGGCCTGCAGGTGGCAACAGAGCTGTGTAACGCTGGACTTAAAAGTCTGGAAACGCTGATCCTGACACACACACCCGTCAGTGGTCAGGCCATCCTGCACTTCCACAGTGAGACACACTAACTGTCCTCTGAACACACTTATTATTATTAAAATTATTAATATTATTATTATTATTGTATAAATGGTTAATAAAGTGTCTCTGCAGGTGTGTGCGATAACATCAGAGCTATAACGGTTGAGGTCGCGGTGTCAGATTACTTTGAAGAACCGGACACTCAGGAAGCTCAACAACTGTTTGGAGAAATTGTCACAACACTAAAGGTGAGTGTGTGAGTTTATAATAAAAACTAATCGTACCACAGACGCATTTCATAAAATATCAGAAACCAAAACAGAGACATTTTGGATTCATGATGGTGCTGGAGACTTTATTTTAATTACAGCCAATCACATCTCGCATAAAGCAGTGACATCAGCATTATCAGGTCTGAAAGACAATTCATGTGAAATTATTGGACTTTACTAAAATGTAGTATCTATAGCACTAACCTCTGCCCTGTATCTACAGCACTAACATCTGCCCTGTATATACACCACTAACATCTGCCCTGTATATACACCACTAACATCTGCCCTGTATCCACAGCATTAACAAACCACAGAGAGGCTGTGATAGCAACACAGGCAGAGGGAGTGTGACGCCATGACTTTGCTATATATTTACATAGATAATAGTTGTTTGCTGATATATACATGTTCAAAATCTCATATATAACATAAAAAAACACCTTATTACCTTATTAATACACATTATTTCAGACTGAATGTGACTTTAAAACAGGATAACTGGATTACTAATGCTGTGTGTGTTTGTGTTTTCAGGTTCTACAGAAGCGTCCTGGACTTTGTGACGTCTTGCGGGTTAAAGTCGAAGGATTCTGCTGACCTCAACACACACAACAGAAATACAGAAATACTCAACCCATCTCTGATTCATCATCTTCCAAACCCTGGACGCTTCAGTCACTCAAATTTAGAAAACATGAACTTGTTACTGACTTTTAAGGTGGAAGTCAACATGTCAAACAGATGTAAAGTTAAAACAAATACTCCAACACAGTCGAGATGGTCCTGAGTCAGGACTAAGCAAAACCTTGATCCTTTCTTCACAGTCCCTTATTCTGAGTAGTCTGAATCCCTTAACTAAACCCTTTACACAAACTTTATTTCACTTCAGTGTGTCACAAACCCATTTGTCTACCAACTCTTTTTTGCACTGTAAAAAGAAAATCCTTAATTCTTTCTCATCTCAAAATTATAGAGGCACTGAAAGGGAAGAACATGATTTAATTCATTATTTTCATCAGTGAAAAGGTTTTTTTCCCCTGTGAGCATTTCTCTAAGTTAATTTAATTAATTGATAGTTTTAATTTCTCCATAGACTCTAAACAAAAGGTACATATTGTCTGTTATCTAGTTATGTAACTGTAATGTGTCCTTTGTATAGAAAATTATTTTTCTAAGAGAAATTAATACTCATCTCAAGCTTTTATTCCTGTCAGGTCGTGGTCATCCTGCTGTGGTCAAAATGTGATATTACAACAACAAACGCTAAGAATGAGGAGATTGCAGATAAAAAAATTATTAAAACTTAGAAAAATGCTCCTGGAAAAAACTTTTTTACCTGTTTTCACGGATTAAACACTTCTGGACAAAACTCTTGATCTTCTTAAGCACAATTTTTAAAAATCCTTTATTCTACTGTGAAACTGTGTTCGTACTGTATTTTTGAACTTCAAGAAAACCTTTAGTCTTGATCCAATTAACCCGTAAACTCCTTTTCTTCTTTAAGCTCAATTGTCCCAATTACAGCATTACTGCCCTTTAAAATATTCTCTATTAACAAACCGTTTTATTTCTATCTTTACATTTACTTCTCTTCTAGCTTTAAGATGAAGATCCTGCCAACAAGATTAGCACAAGTATGTTAGATATCCTTTTATTCTACCTTAAAAAGCCATAATTAGTGTTCTGAAGTCATAGAAAACCTTTATTCTTACCTTATTCTTTAGCTTTACATTAAAAATAAGCACAAGCACATGTATGCACAAATATATTTGCACAAGACACACTCTAACTCATGCACCAAAGACGTCAATCAATCAATCAGTCAATCAATCAATCAGATGTTCTGGAGTTGTTGATTGAAAAAAATCAATCCATTGTGTGTCTTTCAACATCTTTATAGAACTTAAAGGTGCTACATTTGTCATTTTACCATCAATAAAATCATTTTCTCTCCAGTTTTGATGACTTTTGTGTTATTAATGAACCACCTGCTTTAATGTTTTACTGATCTAATCAGGCAGAGGGCGCTGTTCTTCCTCAAATACAGCGGCTGCTGGGAAATAATTGAATTGAATTGAAATGTCTTTAATGTCCCCAAGGGGCAATTTGGTTCACAACAGGTCACACATACACACATACACATACACATTTGCACAAAAACACATAAAAACATGAAATGATGAATAGATAAAAGCATAAATACACTTGTACACTATATATATATATATATATATATATATATATAAAAATAAAAAGTGAAAAAATGTACTGTGACATGGACAGGGATGGAAGATGACCTATAGTTTGTTGAGAAACCCAACAGCTGATGGTACAAATGATCTCAGGTATCTGTTTGACCTGGCACGTTATTCCAAAATATTGGGATACTCTTACATTCCCGCGGCTAGTTCAAACATGACAGACGAGATACGAAGAACACATTTAGACAAAATACGCACACGCGGCTCCTGCTGTATGTCGCCGCAGCAAGGCAGCACCAAGCACAAGATATGGTCTTCATTTGGGACTAGCACTAACAATACTACTACGATACAAAACGCTGTCTCTGTGTTATAATCATTGTACTTTAGCTCGACTGTCACAACCTTGAAACTTTTCATTTCCACTCAGATAATCGTAAGTTATAGTAAACAGTACAGACACCTGTATCTATAGCACTGACCCATGCCCTGTATCTACGGCACTGACTTATGTAACTTAGTGTTATTGTCAAAGAGACTCAATCAAATGTTTATTAACTGTCTCTGAAAGGGTTAAATTATGGGAATTCTCTAAAACCTATGAAATTAAGTTAATATTATAATTAATGTTACAATTAATTATATGAATCAGATAAAAAATACAGACCTCTGACCTGTATCTACGGCACTGACCTCGGTCAAACAATCAATTTGCAGAAATTATTTTTAATTTATATAATTTTTGCTACATCCGGTATTTTTGTGCAATTTATTGCTCACAGTTTATCTTAAACAAACAAAAACACATAAAACAAGTTTTTTAACCCATTAAACTTTGAGTTTTCCTCAAGTAATTTCAAACAAACAAATAATTACTTCCATTTATTTCCACATTACGGAACAACGTCATACATATTCTGTATTTGCTGCAATGAAGCTGTCACCTTGTCAGCTTGGAAACAGTTTCTGTCCTTGTTCAGGCAAAGATTGACCTTACATTACATGTTTTTCTTACCTTAACCTTTTCAAAATCGGCAAAAATATCCTTGAAAAACCACTTCCTGGTCACTGATTGATGGCAGCTATTTTGGATGTCTCAATTGAAGGTCCTGGGGTGAATGAATTACTGATCCCTGGTGGATTATCTCTGCACTGCATGTGTCTGATTGTAAACATCAGGTTTGTCAGAACACTGATGATGTCGAGGTCTCAAAAACTAATTCATCAAATATGATACACTCGGCGTTACAGGGTTAATACAGTAACTGTCTCTTAGTGTGAAATGATTGAACTAAAACTTATTAAATAAAGTTAATATCAATATCAGTCACACTCTGCCCTGTTGCCCAAACAAGGATTTCCCAGCAGCCAGTTTCAGGGTGTGTGTGTGTGTGTGTGTGTGTGTGTGTGTGTGTGTGTGTGTTGTGTGTGTGTGTGTGTGTGTGTGTGTGTGTGTGTGTGTGTGTGTGTGTGTGTGATAAAACAAGCTGAGATAAACTCCAGCGGGACGAAGGTCAAGTGCAAAGGTCGTCCTGAGCTGTGCGTGTACCTGTGGGAGTGAGCAAACAAACGACCTTTAACCCCAACGAGAGAGAGAGAGAGAGCATGTGATGACAAGTGTAGTCTTATAAACTGTGTGTGTGTTTTAACGAGTTAAAGGTTAAAGTGTGTGTGTGTGTGTGTGTGTGTGTGTGTTGTGGTCACCATGGTTTTCCTCAGACGGACAACGCTGCTTCGTTACCTGCTGCTGTCGGCCATGTTGGCTCTGCTCCTCTTCATCAGCTCCTTGTGGCTCCGTAAGTTTCCTCCGTCACTGTCAGCTGGTACTGACTGTCGGCCATGTTGGCTCTCCCTCTCTCACTGGCTCATCCAGTTACCTTTAAGTTCTTATTGCACTGTTCTGATTCACAGGCGCCCCCCAGTGGTGATTACTTACGTACTTACAACAACAGTTATAATAGAAGCATCCTAATGATTATTTAGAGACGTGTGTTACACTTGGTGAAGAGCGCATTATGACTTCTTTAAGACTCTGGAAAATGAGTTTTGTGTGTGTCTGTCTTCAGCTCAGGGCGGAGTCAGAGACTGTGGCAGCGCCTGGCAGCCATGTTTGAATTTTTACTACCAAAAGGTACGACTAACACACAATACAGATCTTTAATCTTTAAATCCTCAAAGTCCCTGAAAACTTTTCTTGAAGTCTGTATGTATCAGGGTCTTTAACTCCTCAGATTCTAGTCTGAAGGCTGAAACAGCTTTTTGAAGAGGAACGCACAACTCGCTTTATAGACAATGTAGAGGAATATCAATACTAATTAATTAAATGTTTCAGCCTGAGCCTCCACTGGCCCCCGGGGAGTGGGCGGAGTTAGACAGAGCCCCGCCCCTCATTAAGGAGTGTCCGGGCCAATCGTTTCAGGCCCGGCGTCTGCTGCAGTATTTAAAGTCCAGCCTGGCCGACGCCGACGCCGACGACGTCCTGCTGGAGCCGTACCTACAGAGCTGGGATCAACTCCTCAAGTACGAACACGCCCTTTCTTGTTAAGTATCAGATATTTGGGTTGATACCACTCGCTCTCTGTACGGCAGTCAGTACAAAAAGTGTAAAAATAAAGAAATGTGGAGCCGTTGTGAAGCTCAGTGTGGTCGGCTCTGGTCCTGACTTCCTGTTAAACCAAACACTGGTGGAGCTGAATGAAGCCTGATTACTGGAAACTGTCACTCACAGCGGCCACGCCCTCAATTATACAAACCTGAAACCTTGAATCCTTAATATAATTTAAAGGGGGGAGTTGTATGGTTGCCATTAATGGGGAAATTAACGAGAGACCCCAAAAGGCTGCAAACATTTATTTCTGCTGTAAAGTTTTATTTTAATATGAGGCCTCACTACTGGAGCCAGCCTCTAGTGGATGTTAGAGGAACTGCAGGTTACAGTACAGTTGGTTGGTGGATTTCGAGCCATGCTAGCTGTTTCCAGTCTTTATGCTGATTTAAGTTAACTGCTGGAGCAGATTTATATTTGATGGGATAAAATCACTTCTCTTCTTTCAGTTTCATGGAGTCTCTCGGGACGATCGTCAGTTTCTTTTCTCAGAAGGTGAAGGAAAAGGTCGTGCTGATACGAGAGCTATCACTCAAACACAGCGCAGAGGCTCATGGGAAACTAAAACGTGGGGTGAGGCTGAAAGAGCGGCTCAAAAACATGGCTGCGTATGAAGTTATCTGACTTGCTGCTAATTTTCTTTATTTTCCTCTTGAGGCGTACCGCTCAGTTCGATCCATGGTGGAGGCGGAGCTAAAAGCGGGCGTGGTCAACTTCTCCCGTCGCACGGATTCGGGCTGCAGGACGCTGCTGCGGCTGCATCGATCTATGCTGTGGTTGAAGCTGATGTTGGAGGGTTTGGCTGAAGGACCGGACGCAGACGGACGATACAAAACACCTGGAGAGCTGAGCAGGTAACAGACTGACCGTGGTGCGTTCAAGGACCGATTACACTGTCAGACAACAGATGTTACATGGAGCATCTGCTCAGTTCTGAGTTTGTTTCAACTTTAAGGAAAGTGTATTTTCTTCCCTCAGGGACGCCTACAAGGTGGCGTTGGCGCCCCACCACCCCTGGGTGCTCCGTCAGGCTGCAGAGTTCGTCTTCCTCGCTCTCCCAGACCGACACTACTTCCTGCAGCTGGTGTGTGTGCAGAGCCAGCGGGAGGCCACGCCCGTCCTGCGCATCATCATCCACGCCCTGACGCTGGTCCACACGCAAACTCAACGAATCCTGTCCGAACACAACCTGCTGGAGCTGCCCTGAACACGCTTACTGTACGTATGTAAGCAACCACGACTGAGAGCCACAGTGTCACAGTACAGTCACTGCTGACACTTGAACTGTTTCACTCACAAAAACAACATTTTTGAACAGAAAGTATTTTTATTTTGGTCGTGTATACGTAGCATAGCAAACAAAAGCAGGCTCACATTTTTTACAGTTGAATACAGTATTTGCTCTTCACTGTGCAGCAAAACCAGGATATTGGTTGTTTATACTTGAATAACGCTTGTGGAGGAAAACATGCACTTTAAGGCACCATATGCTGCATTCAGGACCACGTGGGATTTGGAAGTGTTTGGATGTCACATCACATTCATCAACATGTAGAATTAGAGTTGTGTACCATCGCCACGAATCTCAGTTAGATTTTGGGAGGAGTACTCGAATATGGACATTACTTAGCAGTCGGCAGTACGTTAGCAGATGATTTTGAGCATCTCTAAGTACAGGATAGGAGGAAGTTGACAGAGGTTGTGAAAGCGGAAGGCTTAGAAAGGTTTGAATATTACAGAGTTTAAGCTGATTAAGTCAATTTAAACTACTTCCCAATTTCCCTCCTTCCCATTGCCCTGAACGCAACATTAAAATTGGCTGGTTTTATGGCAACAGCGGAACGTAAAAAAAAACCTAATTAACTAATCGACACTGCGAGAAAACGTAAAAAATATATATCACTGTACAGTTTCAGTTTCTACACAACAAAGATAACAAAGTTTAATGTTTGTAAGAGTGAAATTTATGTCTTTTTTTGGACATTGACAGTAGAGAGTTGGAAAGTATCAGTAAATACAACATGAAGAACAACACGACTGCTACCTAAAGATCTGTAATTATTCGTAGTTCTAACGAAGGATCAGATTTCTTCCCTCTGTAAACAGTTCAGGACTGTTAATACTGCATTACAACTCGTCTTTTAAACTCATAAAGTTATTTAGAGCTGAAACTGATAATTTATTTGTATGATTCTGACCATTTACGTGTTTGTTTTGTTCAAATCTCACATGAAGATATTCAGTTTACAAAGATGTAAAACAGATAAAAGTCTGTTATTTATCTTCTATTTCTGTAAATCAATAAATTCTTTCAGCTTTTTGCCTTTTTAAATACTCGTGCTGTTATGATACCTGAATTTTGGTAACAAACTAAAACAAATAATCGATGAGTTGTTCCAGAAATTAGTTTTCTGTTTTTATTAATCAAAAAGTAGAGTTTGGTATGAAATGAACACCAAAACAAATAATTATTGAAAAAGTTGTCGATTGATTGTTTTCAGCACTTTTTGTTTTAATGAAAAAACAAAAGGAGGCTCGTTAATGATTCCTACATTTCAATATCAAAATATTTGTTCATTTGTGGTCAGTTGGTTAATCGATTGTCTTATCACGACTGTGTTTAATTTCTTTTTCCTCCCTAAAGTAAAATAATATTTGAAATTTTTTAACACCAATACTTGAACACTTTTTCACTGCTTTTAGTGTTTTTACAAAAAAAAAATTATCTTAACAAAAGAAGTCAAAGTTGATTGATTTAAAGGTCCAGTGTGTAACATCACTGTAATATAATGTTCACAAGTATGTTTTAATTAGTGTTTAATCACCTGAAAATAAGAATCGTTGTTTTTGTTTAAAATGAGACGTTTTATGTTCTGGCGGAGTCCGCCATGTTTCTACAGTAGCCCACAACAGACAAAGCAAACAAATTTTTTTGCGCCCAGCGTAGTTTCTTGTACACGTGAGCGGTATTCAAATGGCTGCAATCTGCCACTGAATCCTACACACCGGCCCTTTAAATCAGCAACAGTTTACAAATCTGATGTCAGTTTTCTGTGGACACATTTTAAGAAAAGATGTGGTTTTTCAGACGGAACCGGCTGTTAAAACGCGTCTTTCAGGACGTTGATTCGCTCAGGAACGGGTTTTCTTCCCCGTGGTGACTCTTCATGTGTGTTTTCAGACAGTGGCCCTGAGTGAAGGCCTTGTCGCAGAGGCTGCACTGGTACGGTCTCTCTCCGTTGTGGGTCCTCATGTGGACCGTCAGGTGTTCTTGGCGAGAGCACGCCTTTCCGCAGACGGTGCAGACAAACAGTTTGATGCCCAGGTGGCTCCTCACGTGGTTGTTCAGGTGAGTCTTTCGTTTGAAAAAGCGGCCGCACTCCGAGCAGCCATATGGCGCCTCGCCGCTGTGCACACGCATGTGCGCCTTCAATTCACCGTTGGATATGAAGCCTTTGCTGCAGACAACGCAGGTGAACGGCCGCTCGTTGCTGTGCGTCTTCATGTGAGTCGTTAAACCGCAGTTGGACATGAAGGTCTTGCAGCAGATATGGCAGAGGTACGGCCGGTCTCTGGCCGTGTGTATCTTCTCGTGCGACTTCAATGTGCCGGGCAGTTTGAAACGCTTCCCGCAGACCTCGCAGCCATAACGCCGCTCCCCAGAGTGAGTCGCTTTGTGACGCGTCAAAGATCGCAGGTCGTAGAAAGACTTGCCGCAGACGTTGCAGTGGTACTTGTCTCTGCCCGAGTGCACCTTCCTGTGAGCTCTGAGCTGCGCCTTCAGACCGAACGCCTTTGGGCAGATATCGCACTTGTGAGGTTTATCGGCCACGTGGACCCAGCGGTGAACGCTCAGACCGGACATGTGAGCGAAGGTCTTGTTGCAGACGTCACATTTGAACGGTCGGTCTCCCGTGTGCAGGGTGGTGTGGCAGTTGAGGCCGGTGACAGTGAAGAAAGACTTTCCACAATACGAGCAGTCGTGAGTTTTCTGATAATTTCTGAGATGTCCCTTTAACTCCTCCACAGATTGGAAACGCTCTCCGCACACCCCACAGACGCACTGCGGTTCCTCCACGTGACTCCAGGCGTGTTTGATCAGACTGCCCAGCATCCTGTACCAAACGCCGCACACTTTACACGGTGTTTTGCTGCTCTCGATCAACCTCTCCTCCCTGCCGGACGTCCTGCCTCCTCGCTTCCTCCTCGGCTTCGACGACTGCAGCTCGGGATCCGGTTTCCAGTCGTCGTCTCCATCAAATGCCTCGTCTTTGTTGTCGGCATCGTCGTCGTCGCTGGAGTCCGCTTGCTTCTCTGCAGCAGCATCGCCATCAGCTTCCTCCGGTGGTTGTGAGCGAACTCTGTTACCTTCTACGTGCGGAACCGACCTGCTGTGGAGAAACAATGTCAGATTACTTTGTGCAGAAGTATGTCGTAGATATTTGTAAACCTGTGGTTCAACCTGGAGGTCTGGACCCAGGAAACAGGAAATAATCTGCTCAAAATTCATCCAAATCTCTGGTTTTACTCAAAGTTCCTCCAGTTACTGAGTTCCCTATTTGGGTTCATTGTTCAGTTCATCAGATGTTCTCTACTGTTATTGATATTAGTGAATACATAAAATACAGTCAGTTTACTCAGTGAAAGAAAAAGGCTCCTTTAAGGAAGAGGTTGGGAACTACTGGGAACTAATAAAACTTTATTGATACCAGGTCGAATTATTCTACAAACGTATCAGACACATTATTGTTTCTACGTCTTAATAAATGTGAGGAGATCTTTCAGTTACCTTGAACTGAGTCCGGCTTCATCACTCTTCATCAGCTCAGCGGACGGAGAATCAGAGGACGTCTCATCGTTTCTCTGTAAGAGGTGAAGCTCCTCCTCCTCCTCCTCTACCTCCTCCTCTTCCTCTCCTGTCTGCAAGAGTTTGTTCCCAAATTATGTTTTTTAAGGAAACAACATATTAAAAAATTAAAATGAATGCTGGTTCAATCTCAGGGACATTTATGGACCTTCAGTCGGATGTAGAGCAGCGTCTTTGCGACGCCGGTGGACTTCATGGTCCTGTAGATCTCGTCCGGCGTCAGCGTCTTTACTCGGAGCCGCTGGAGCCTCCTGCTCCTGTCGGACTTGAAGATGTCAAAAGGTTTGTTGGCTTCTGCCAGCTGAGGGAAGGTAGATCTCAGCAGGTCCAGGAAGTCCGCCTCCTGCAGGCCACGAGGACACCTCAGGTCCTGTATCGAGGATTTCAGTAACACTGAAACAGAGAGAAAATATACCCTAATTAACCTCCATCGACCCGCTCAGTGAGTCCGTTCAGAACCATGCCATCATAGTCACCGTTTTTAGAGAGCACGTCGGACTGGGAGTCTTCCAGCATGCAGATTTTAAGGAGGTGGTGAGTCGGTTCTTCACCGAGGCGAGGTCTGCCACGCTTCCTCCTCTCAGAAGAATCTCTGGGAAACGATAACCCAACAGATGAGACACAATATCTGATCATCCTGCAGCGTTATTATTAACACCAGGGCTGCAACTGACCGCAATTTCATTATCGATTCATCTGTCCATCATTTTCTGGATTAATCGATAAGTAGTTTGGTCCGTAATGTCAGCAAGGTGACGTCCTCAACCAAAGATATTCAGTTTACTGTCATAAAGGACGACATAAACCAGAAAACACTCACATCTGAGAAGCTGAAATCTGAGAATTTGGTCTTTTCTTTTAAATAAAAAAATTATTAATCGACTAATCAGTGCAGCTGATTAACCTGGTCGCTTAATAAGCTTCTTTTTTGACAGTTTCAGTGTTTTCATCTCCCTGACACTTGGCGTACTTACATACTTTCTAATGCAGGATGAGGCTGTTTAGAGAGTGAAAACTCGTTAGTTAGTTTGTGTTCAGAAGTTTAGATTATAATAATATGAACGAAACACTGAGATATAGACTTCTTTTGTATATTTTCTAAGTTTTCTTACACTCCTTAAAATCAAGAAGATCCTCACGACCTTCAGGTTTGTAACCAGTGTACTAAAGGAACCTTCTCAATGACCACAGAAACCTTCCTCAGTGGCCATTAAACTACTGCAGAACCTCCTGTAGATTACTGGGTCTGTGTGTCGGTCTCTTTGGTCACCTGTGGTGTGTTTGGGTTTGATCAGTCGACGTCGTGGCAGAGCTGGACGGAGAATCATCTTGTCTCTGTAGAGGATGAAGGTCCTCACTGCTGCTCTCAGGATCCTCTCCGGTCTGTAAACACAAGAAATATTAAATAACGAATTGAAGCTCACTGGAGGATGGAGAGAGTTTGTGGTTTTCACTCAGCTGATGTTATGTTAGACTGTTTTGGATTCACCTTCAGGCGGATGTAGAGGGCTGAGTTTCCCGCTCCGGTCAGCCTGATGCTCCTGTCGATCTCCTCCGGCGTCACCGTCGTCACTCTGAGCGGCTGCAGTCTCTTCGTTCTGTCAGTCGTGAAGAAGTCTAAAGGTTTCTGAGCAGCCAGCTGAGGAAAGGTGGACCTCAGCAGGTCCAGGAAGTCCGCCTCCTGCAGCCCACGAGGACACTGCAGCTCCTGCACCGGACATTTCCGAAACACTGAAACAGACAAAAGAAAATCATCGTGAGGTTGAGTTCATCTTTACATTTATGGGGTCAGTCACTAATCAATCACAGTGTACCCCTGTTTGAGAGCACACTGGTCTGAGAGTCCTCCAGGATGCAGATCCTGAGATCTAGATGTTTCTGTGCGTCACTGGTCCGAGGCCTGCCGGGCCTTCTCCTGTCAGACCGACCTCTGGGGGAAATTAACCTGGAGGGTGAAGACAGGTTAACAAAATAAGACGGTAGTGAACATATGGGACTTGTTCATGGCCAAAAGTTTGTGGACACTGGAACATTAGACTCTTATGGGACTGCTGGTGGGGTCCACAGTGATGTTGGGTGATCAGGTCTGGTTCATTCAGGGCTCTGTGCAGACCGGTTCAGTTCTTTATAGAGCTGCTTATGTGTGTTTTCATTGGAACTACAGCATCACCAGCTAACAGCATGCTAGCTCATAACAACCAGCTAACATGTCGCTGCTCAACCCGCCTAGCTACAACCACACAATCATCCTCAGCTACCACGCTATGCTAACAAGCAGGCTAACAGCATGCTGCCTGAGCCACCAAATAAACCAAACAACAAACACCACGTTAGGCTAACTAGCATGCTACCAACATGTTGAGCTAACAATCTTCACATACACACGTGCTGGTTTGGCTCCCGGTGGCTAGCGGTGGTCGAGCGAGCTAGAGAGTGAATGAAGAGAGGGAGTGGCGTTAACAAAGCAGCGAACCAGATCAATAAAATGTTATTTCTGATTTCAGATTTATTCCCCTTTGTTTATTGATTCATAATGAAACAAAAAAACTGAGTTAATTTGTTAATTTGAACCGTTATGTAGTCGGTTCACTGGACAGCAGAAAAAGTAGAATTTATTCTATTTTACATAAAAATTCCTCTTCTCACCTATTAGTCTATTAAAAGAAGAAGTAGAATTTATACAGTACGAAGTCGATTTTTATATAACGGACTGTAAATTAGACAGAAAACCACCGTCAACACACAAAACGTGTATTTATACGGTAAAATATGGAATAAAACTCCAACTTAAATTTAACTAATGTCCTTTTACCGTATTTATTACAGTAAAGTTATGGCAACCACAGCCAGGCGTTTCCATGACTGGAAAACTAGTCTTCACATTGTCAAGTTTTCCAGGACGTGTGGAAACGTTTCATAGCGGTGAAAGCTCAAATAAAAACAACCACGACTCCGCACACATCAGCCCCGCAGCCGGCGAATCCAATCTGACCTCCCCACAACCTGTTTGGAGGCGCTTTGACCCGACTCCACAGATCGACAATCTGGTAACGGAAACACAAATCAACGCTGCACTGTTCGACACAAAAGGGGGCGTGTCCACATACTTTTAGCTACATGAACATCTTCATTAAACTGGGGGCGCTGGGATCTGTGACCTTGATGTTATTTGAAAATCCGGGTCCTTCAGATCTTCTCGTCCCTGTCTGGAGCTCGTTGCCGGTCGCGCCGACAGCTGCTGCTCTTCATCTCCATCATCCTCTTCATCGTCATCGAACCACAGCAGGCCCAGACTCCCAGTGTCCTCCACATCTGGACACAGACGCAGGAGAAGGTCTCAGTTTGTACGGAGTCCAGTAGAACCAGTAGACACAGACAACACAACATCGTCTGCGTATAGTGACACTTATTTACTCACTACAACCAAATCAGAAATTATATAATACATTTTACATAATTTAAACCGTTTAAAAATGTAGTTTTGAATTTTATGTCATTTTAGTTTACAGAATTAGAGTTTTCTTGCTATTTGTAATAACGTTTGATACAGTTTTGTGTCTGTATTAAGTATTTACTTTTATTACTATTATTATTATTATTATTATTATTGTTGAAAGCTTTTGTTCTGGTCTCTTAAGTTTAAACAATACTTTCATTTAGATATTTTCCAGATCTTTTCTTTTATTGTCCTTCGTTCTTTGGGGACGTAATAAAGTCAACTGTTTGTTTCTTTATTGTTTGATGTGAAGATGCGACGTAGCAGCTTTTAAACGTGGAACCATTTGGCACTTTTACAGCTTGTTTCACCTAAAAGGGGGCGCGGTCGTAGTGACGTGTCGTATGGCTGCTGTCATCTACACTTTAACTACATTTTACTGAACAACAGCTTCAATGCAGGATTTTTACAGTATGTAATTAAAAGGTCTGAATTCTTCGTCTATCACTGGTGAACATGAACATTTCACTCATTCATTTCAACTGTAATTGGCTTACTTGTTTTCTCATTTAATAACATAATTAAAGACTCACCTGACTGCTGCTGTGTGTGCTGCTGCTCCTCTTCCTCCTCCTCCTCTTCCTCCTCCTCCTGCTCCTCCTCCCCCTCACTCACAATAACAACCTCATGGCCCTCCACATCTGACACCAGAGCTTTTGAGATTTCAAAGTAAAAGAAAGTCTATTTTTATAAATGTAAACATTAAAAATGCAGCAGAGAGTCACTTGTGTTTGCACAGATATCCTCAGAGCTGCACAGTTAATCACAATATGTATATAATATAATAATAATATATGTATATATAAGTGCAACATGCAAATCGCAGGAAGCTGCAATTCTTAAATAAAAAGGTAAAATTATAATTAAGTCCTGGTCTACAAATATTGTTCTCCAGATTTAATAAAACATGTTTCAGACCCCCAGATATTCACACCATCATGACTTTAACGTCCCCACACTATAATATATAAATAGAATCACAATCATATTGTGCAGCCCTCATGCACTCAGTAAGACCCATGAACCAAATGAAAACTGACCTAATTCACAACATTTACTTGAACTTATTTTAGAGCCGAACTGTCAAACACATTATAAAAACACTTCCACACATTCACTTCATGTCCTCTGTGGTTTGTCGGGTTGTCAGCGAGCAGATAAACTTTAAATGAGTCGTTTTTTAAACGAAGTTCCGCATCTTAAAACAACAGAGCGTTTATGTTATTTGTTCTCTGACCTTTCCTCTCCAGTTTGACCCGAGGCTGCAGGAGGAGCTCCAGCTGTCTCCTCTGCCGGTCGATCTCCCGTCGGAAGCCCGCAGCCTCCTCCTCGTACCCGGCTACGGTTCTCTCGACCACCGCTAAGATCTCCTCCGCGGCGGTGCTCAGTTTCTCGGTAACGATTCCTCTCAGTATCTCGGCCTTGGACATGTTCCCCAGAGCCTCCGAGCCGCCGCCGCCGCCGCTTCTCTTCATCCAGTAAAACATGTTTGATTTCTGCTCGCTGCTGACAGTTTGTGCACAATAACTTTACACATTTGCGCCATGCGCGGACGGTGTGCTTCCGGGTTGTGGTGCAGTTACAATGATGTCCGGCGAGAAACAAAAACAAAGTGGGTGTTGTGAATATTAAATAAACTATATGATATATTATATTACATAAAGTTTATTATAACGGATTGAAAAGAGAAAAAAGCCTGCGTGCTAATAACTTCTAATCTGTATGTTTACAGGTTTATTTCACATTACATATATATATATATATATATATATATATATATATATATATTTATATATTTATATAAAATGTGGAAATAAATAAATTATATAATGTACCTTTGCAAACCTATTAGAATATTTTATGTGAGAAAAAAGCGGTAATTTTATGATTATTTACATTTAAATTAGACATGTAAATTCACAGGCAATTGTGGAATTTTATTAATATTTCGATGTATTTAAAAAATATTGAAAATCTGTAAAATAAATGGGAGTAATCCTGTAAATTTACAGATTTTGTTTTACAGTGTAGCTACAGTAAAACTATAATATTTAATTAGTAATACTATCTCGATCTGTAGTATTCCTGTACTATTTTAAATAGTATTACTGTTGTATATTATATAGTGTTTCTGTAGTTGTCCTTTGATTTTACTGTAGAACATTCCTAAAGTAATACTGATAATGTTTTAGTTAATGTAAAGTATTACTTTAGTAACTTAATATATGTCTGACAATTGAACATACTATAGAAATACATATAAAGAAATATAGTATAATTACAGTAATTCCCTGACAAACCCTAGAAATACAACAGGAATATAGTGATACTATACAAACACTGTAGTATAACTAGAACTTCACTATAAGATCATCAACTCTATAGTATTAATATATTAATTTTCTATAGTGCGTTTCCCAAACCCATAAAACTACTGTAGTAGTTTGGTGGAATTTATTTATTTAAAATAATTCCATTAAACATTCATACACAATGGTTTATTATGTATTATATAATTTAAGATTTACACATTAAAAGGTTGATTATTATTTGTCAACTTCAACTGTTTTTGAATAACTTACTAATAATCAACTTTTATCTCTTTTTAGCTTCAAGACACAAATCGATATCCACTGTCTTCACCGACCATCTCTCATCTATTACCATAAAACTTTCAAATAACATAAAACATGTTTTCATCTTTGTTGTGGTTCTCCTTGAACAGTTACTACAACTACATATTAAATAGTACCTTAGATATTTCCTTGTGTTCAGTTGGTATAAAGCTAAACAAAACGAGTCTGTCCATTTTCTGACCTCTGTGTCTGGAAGAGCTGGAAGGACAATAGTGAGTTAATGTCTTTGTGTGTAGACCAGTGGTTCCCAACCTTCACAAGGCCTTTTTGATTTTAAGGGGAGTAAGAAAACTTCAACTATACTTTTTAAATTCTGGACCTGAACACAAGCTCTATTCACAGAGCATTCACTCTCTTATAAACATCCTACAAAAGTACACAGTTAAAACAGCCAAAGAGCCAATGGCCAGGCGTCATGCAAACACTGAATTTGTCAAGAAAAAACTTCAGACAATCACTAGTGCAAAACACTACCTAGGAGACACCCTATTATGAAACACAGCTACTCATACACATGTAATCGTGTAAAGGTTTTAGAAAATGTGATGACATCTGACTGAAGAACTCAATTTATAAGTTTGCTAAGATCAGTGGAATAGGAACACTGATACATATTTATTCTCATGTGTACATTCATATTGGACATCTTCACTGTGTGTATTTAAGGATCAACCACACAGAACCAAGGGTAATCCTACTGGGAGACACATCTATGATAAAAGTCCATTAAAAAAAAATGAGATTTAATAAAATTGCCCTAATTACAGCCAACAAATGTATTTCAGTACAATGGAAAGATGAACAACCACCTACATCGGCTAGATGTACTGGATGGACTAATGAATTAGCATCATGAATACCAAATGAAAAGATAATGTATAACCTGATTTAAATAGAGATTTGGGGATTTTATAACGTTTCTGGAGACAATATCCAAAGAGTTCAAAGAGAGAGATCAAATTCAGCACCAGTGAGTGATCTGACAAACAACATTCTTGGACAGAAATGCAGACTTCCTGGTCTCACTAACACGTTGTTGACTAATAGCAGAGAGACGAGTTTGCTTAACGCCTTCCTTAATAACATATTCAATCTCCTGTTATCATCACTTAAAGACACATGACACAATCTGATGGCACAAAGACGAGTGTGCAAACATACACATTATTACATATTCTGTTTGGGCAGTACAACATATCAATAGATCAGCTGAGGAGCTGATACAGGGTGGTAGCACAGACAGACGGCAGTATAATGTAACATGATACATCATCCAAGCAGAACAGAACCAACACAGGAGTCTATATCTGCTTCAATATCTCAACAACAGGATATCTGTGACACTGAAGGTCTTTCCCAGGAAAAGGAAGCTACGTGTGAACTGAAGATAAGTTAAATATTGTAATAACCCTTTATTGAAGTCAGAACAAGTAACCTCACAGAATGAAAAGGTGCGCCATCACCTTTCTTTTAACTGATATGGTCCAGTGTCAGATCTGAGAACAACACACGACAACTGTAGAATACAGGCTCTGTAGTTCACAAAAACCAGTTCATCAAACAGCATTTAATCTCTGTGTGCAGAGAAGACTGGCCAAACAATAACTTATCCTCTTTAAACACGTCCCCTGCTAACCAGCCACCTTCAGTATCACAGAACAAACCACTACATGCAGGTGTACTGTGGCAACTAATATGCAAATATGCATGTGATGTTGCAAAAGAGCATTTAACACAACACACTGAGTTTATGCCAAAAGACAGATTTCACCCTTAATTAAACACCCCCATACCTATCAGCCAACTTTGTCCCAGCTTCCCCTGATTCCCACACATAAATTACAATTCAGAAACTGATCTGAATTACTGGTTTTGTCAATGGAGTCTGATTGGCTTTAATGCCCGTTGTTTTGCTCTAGTGCGACTTCTAGTGGCGAGTGAATTTAGTTAAAATAACCTTTTAGCTCTTTGACACGTTGCATGAGTCTGGCACTGGTGGCTTTTATCAAACCTGTTCAGCTGGAGATCTTTAAGTGATCGAGAAATTAATATTCTGTTGTCAAAGTCTTGTGTACGAAGGATTTACAAACTTAATGTCTCCCGCCTTAATATCTGTGGTAGGAAGTTCGTCAGTCAAGCAGGTAGAAGGATCATGTACATTATTATTTAATTCATTAAGATTTTACAGGAAATATAACAAAGACCAGTTTTTTTCAATGTTTTTAATTTGAAACAAGACAAGAAACAACAGTTCACTCACTTAAGCTTCTTAAATCACATTAATTCAATTCTTATAGTGTCAATTCATAACAGAAGTTATCTCAGGACACAAATAGAGCAGGTCTAGACCGAACTCCTTCTAACATTATTTACAGAGACCCAACAGTACCACCATTAGCAAGCACCTCGAGACAGCGGCAAGGAAAAACTTACTTACTACATTATTATTTAATTCAATAAGATTATACAGGAAATATAACAAAGACCAGTTTGTTTTAATGTTTTTAATTTCACACAAGACAAGAAAGAACAGTTCACTCACTTAAGCTTCTTAAATCACATTAATTCAATTCAATTCAGCTTTATTTGTAAAGCACAAATTCATAACAGAAGTTATCTCAGGACACAAATAGAGCAGGTCTAGACCGAACTCCTTATAACATTATTTACAGAGACAGTTCCCACCATACGCAAGACCTTGGAGACAGCGGCAAGGAAAAACCTCCTTTTAAGAAGAAGAAACCTCGGACTGACCCCGACTCTAGGTGGGTGGCAGTCTGCCGCGACCATTACCATTATTGTATAGAAAAAATATATAAAGAAGTTTAATGAGAAATAGGTTAGGTTACATATGAGACGGATGGCGTATAGAGAGGTGAGTTTTCAAGCACAAATTGATCGGTTTGTCCTTTTGATTGGTTCTTCCTATCAGTACCTCCTGGCACAGACTGATGGGAGGGATCTGTCACACCAAAGGTCATCCCAGCATTTCTGATCTGTATAAACCAAAAACCCAGCAGTGAGACAGCGCTACACAAACCCAAAGCTGAACCTGTTGAATGAAGCATCATTACGTAGACACATCATTTATCCTGGGATATACTGTCTGTTTGAACAGCACCACTCACAGTTACAGGGAACCACTGTCCTCACAGCACCATGGCTGTTAAAGCTGCATTAATAAGTTACTAATCAATCGCAGTACCAGCACTGTAGATTTTGTGGTATATGATATCAATGCCATGTATAATTTCAGGAACCCAAAGAATTTGAAATCCTTCTTATAAATTATTATTTGTTATTTAAAAAAAGGAAATTGATTGATATTCTTGCAGGTCACCATATTTTTTCTTTATATTCATCCTGTATCATTTACACCAACCATACACTGAGCTCTCATGGAAAGTAATGTGATTTACCTTTATAATTAATTTGTGTGCAGTGCTGACCAAAAAAATTGTTAGGCTCTCCATGACACCAGTGAGAATAGCTGAATCTTGTGCCGTCACTCCAGAGCCAATGACGTTCCTTCATTACAGAACAGAAGATTGTATGAATAAAACAGTCAAATGATTGTTTTAATAAATATTTGTTGCACATTATATAACGGTGAATATTTTACCTGTTGTGCGTCAGACCCTCCAATCCATGCTGGATTGCTGTAATGACTGACTCTCACTATCATCCTCTGAATCTCATGGTACTCCTGAAAGCTGTGTACAGATGCAAGGTTTCCACCCATGGACTGACAGTTTCTCTGCAGAGAGAGAGAGACAGTTCATTGGCATCATTTACAGACGTGGCCTCCTCTCTATAGAGAACAGAATGAACTTTGTGTAGAAGTCCCAAGGTCCCTGAATTAACACAATCCCAATTACCTCAGCCTGAGCCCAGTTCAGGACTCTTGGAACGTAGAGGAAACAGCGACTGTTGAAAGCAGTCCAACCACTGGGACAAGATCTGGCCCTCTGGACATCATCAGTCTCTCCTGAAGTCAAACAGACAAGAGTGGATAATCAGTCTATAGTTCTGCTTATTTAAAGGAGAACATCATGAGAAAGTGCATTTCAGTATAATTCTTGAAAAACACCCACTGACCAGCTGGAATGAATGAGTCTGTCCAATTTTCGTCCTTTGTGTCTGGAAGAGCTGCACAGTTTGATGTAGCCGTTACTGATTGAAACTGTCCGCTATTTTCATTGAGTATTTATGAATGAATTCAATCTCTTTCTCTGTTCATGCAGTAAAACTCATGTCTCATATATCTGATTACAAGAGAGCATCAATATAAATCTAAAGAAAAATATTCTTACCAACAATAGTTTCCTCTGTCCCAGGTTCAGAGTCTGGAAGAGCTGGAAGGACATTTTGACCCAGTAGTGAGTTAATGTCTTCATCGCCCCTCGTTGCTGTGTATAGACAAATGTACTTAACATACGGAGTGATACTCACCAGCTGCTCCAGTCAGAGTTATCATGGCACAAAGAAGTGCAGACAGAGTCAGGATCTTCATGGTGGAGATGATGCCAAAGGGGATGATTAGCTTTAATAAAGACAGACAGTGTTAGTAATACTCGTCCGGGGAAGAGACGACCTGTAGTCTATCGAACGAGCAGAGCTGCTGCAGAATGATCTTCCCTCTTCTTCCTTCTCAGTGTCAGCCTGTAACTTCAGTCTTCCTGTGAGCAGCTGCTGAACGAGACAAACATCAGCTCTTATATACAGTTACTTATCTTGCCACCTCGTACAAAAACAGGAAACAAAACACAAAAATACAACATAGTTGATTAACAGACACCACAATCTCGCCAACCGAGATGTGAAATACTAATCATCAAAAGTTCAAAGTATCTTTATTGTCCCTTCCAGGGAAATTGGACATGAGCCAGGATCATTCAAAATACACAAACACACCTAAACAGTGGTGGACAGCCAACAGACAGACACAGTTTACAGTTCAGGAGGTTGTTCAGCATCCAGGTCAAGGTAAGTACAAGTAACACTGTAAGCAATCTACAGACAACAGTTTAATAGATCTACTGTTTAACATGTGAATGGAAGAATGGATGATGGAAACCATGTATCTTGGACCTGAGGGGAACAGTTGAACTGTGTTCCAAGGGGCTGATCTTGGACCTTTGGCATTGGGGTGGACAGGTGATCTCTGTGCAGTGAAGAAACGCCACAACAATCAGCTCTCAGAAACAGCGATGGAAACAAAACCATTTGAAGAAATCAAACACAGAATTTAACCCACTGTCCCTGAAATTATTTCTGTCTATTTGAGTTTACACAACTCAGCTGTGGATCCAACATAAAGCCAAAGTCCAGCATAGAGAGGCTGAGTGAATGTGGTCTGGACTCAGAGACACAGTAGAAGGACAGAATACCCGCACTGTGATCCAGGTACACTCCAACTCTGGAGGGCTGAGGACCTGAGACAGGAGTCCGGACATTGTTGTAATACAAGATATAAATGTTTGTGTCACAATCTAAAATCCAAGATTAATCATTGAATCCAATTAAACATTCCTATGAGATCCCTGCTCTTCTGATATTCTTGTATGTGACTGCTACATAAACTTCTTCCCCTCTCCACTCCACCTCCCAGTAACAAGGTTTTGGGTCCCCACCTAAATTTTGAGCCCCACACTGTGACTGTGCTGTCAGCCCGCAGGCCCCACCACTTAATAAAGACAAAAACAACACACACACACACACACACACACACACACACACACACACACACACACACGCACACTGAGGGCCCACTCCCTTCTCAGACCAAAGAAAAAGGAAAAAGTTTAGATGTTCAAGCCAGGCTATAAATGTGTCTGTCCTTGTATGCAGGTGGTTATTATGTGGTTTATCAGACATGTGTAGGTTGGGCTATCTTTAAGCCTGTCATGTATTACCTGAAGCAAATGTGGTTTGTCCTCGTATTAAGACAGCAAGTTAATTTAGAGTGGCGGAAACAGCCTTCTACAGAGTGGTGTAACACAAAGACTCACAGTCAACACAAAGGTTATATACTGAATGATAATAATATATATTTTTTCCTCTACACAGTTCTGCTAATTTAACACCACACATACATAGGTGCAGTCTCTCTGTCCGATTTCCTCACACCCAACAGTAAAGGTGCACGATGTTAATAGAGAGCTCCTTCAAATATACTGTTGGATATTCTATGTGTGACTTCAGACAAAAATTATACTTATTATTTATAGTTATTTATAGTTTAGTTTGGCGCCACATTTTTAACACCTCATTACGATACAGTGAACTTCACTGACCATCTCCCATTTAATACCATAATACCTGCAAATAATATACAACCTATTTTTTCACCATAGTTGTGGTTCTCCTTGAAGATTTTGGTATATTTTTTAAAGCTGAACAGAAGAATTACTACAACAACACATTAAATAGTACCTTAGATATTTCTGTGTGTTCAGTTGCTATTAAACTAAAACAAATGCTTTCTGACACATTCAGTGCATCCATCAGAGGTTTGGATGATGTAGATCTTATACCATCATCTGTTTGTAGGATGGGAAGCAGGTAGAAGGATTATGTATATTATTATTTAATTCATCAAGATTATACAGGAAATATAACAAAGACCAGTTTGTTTCAATGTTTTTAATTCCACACAAGACAAGAAAGAACAGTTTATTCACTTAAGTTTCTTAAATCACATTAATTCAATTCAATTCAGTTTTATTTGTAAAGCACAAATTCATAACAGAAGTTATCTCAGGACACATATAGAGCAGGTCTAGACCGAACTCCTTCTAACATTATTTACAGAGACAGTTCCCACCATACGCAAGACCTTGGAGACAGCAGCAAGGAAAAACTTCCTTTTAAGAAGAAGAAACCTCGGACTGACCCCGACTCTAGGTGGGTGGTCGTCTGCCGCGACCATTACCATTACAGTATAGAAAAAATATATAAAGAAGTTTAATAAGAAATAAAGCCTTTAGGTTACATATGAGACGGATGGCGTATAGAGAGGTGAGTTTTCAAGCACAAATTGATCAGTTTGTGCTTTTCATTGGTTCTTCATGTCAGCGCTTCCTGGCACAGACTGATGGGAGGGACCCGTCACACCAAAAGTCATCCCAGCATTTCTGATCTGTATAAACCAAAAACCCAGCAGTGAGACAGCGCTACACAAACCCAAAGCTGAACCTGTTGAATGAAGCATCATTACGTAGACACATCATTTATCCTGGGATATACTGTCTGTTTGAACAGCACCACTCACAGTTACAGGGAACCACTGTCCTCACAGCACCATGGCTGTTAAAGCTGCATTAATAAGTTACTAATCAATCGCAGTACCAGCACTGTAGATTTTGTGGTATATGATATCAATGCCATGTATAATTTCAGGAACCCAAAGAATTTGAAAACCTTGTTATAAATTATTATTTGTTATTTAAAAAAAATGGATTGATATATTCTTTCAGTTCATTGTCTTTTTCTTCATATTCATCCTGTATCATTTACACCAACCATACACTGAGCTCTCAAGGAAAGTAATGTGATTTACCTGAATAATTCATTTGTAGACAGTGCTGACCACGATCATTATTAGGCTCTCCACGACACCAGTGAGAATAGCTGAATCTTGTGCCGTCACTCCAGAGCCAATAACGTTCCTTCATTACAGAACAGAAGATTGTATGAATAAAACAGTCAAATGATTGTTTTAATAAATATTTGTTGCACATTATATAATGGTGAATATTTTACCTGTTGTGCGTCAGACCCTCCAATCCATGCTTGATTGCTGTAATGACTGACTCTCACTATCATCCTCTGAATCTCATGGTACTCCTGAAAGCTGTGTACAGATGCAAGGTTTCCACCCATGGACTGACAGTTTCTCTACAGAGAGAGAGAGACAGTTCATTGGCATCATTTACAGACGTGGCCTCCTCTCTATAGAGAACAGGATGAACTTTGTGTAGAAGTTTGGGTCCCTGAATAAACACGATCCCAATTACCTCAGCCTGAGCCCAGTTCAGGACTCTTGGAACGTAAAGGAAACAGCGACTGTTGAAAGCAGTCCAACCACTGGGACAAGATCTGGCCCTCTGGACATCATCAGTCTCTCCTGAATTCAAACAGACAAGAGTGGATAATCAGTCTATAGTTCTGCTTATTTAAAGGAGAACATCATGAGAAAGTGCATTTCAGTATAGTTCTTGAGAAACACCCACTGACCAGCTGGAATGAATGAGTCTGTCCAATTTTCGTCCTTTGTGTCTGGAAGAGCTGCACAGTTTGATGTAGCCGTTACTGATTGAAACTGTCCGCTATTTTCATTGAGTATTTATGAATGAATTCAATCTCTTTTCTTTGAGGAAAGGCCAGGCCCAAAAATTAATTAAAAAAAAGAAAAAAAAAAAAAAAAAAAAAAAAAAATTTTTAAAAAAAATTTTGTGTCTTCATCGGCTCCAGTCAGAGCCATCATGGCACAAAGAAGTGCAGACAGAGTCAGGATCTTCATGGTGGAGATGATGCCAAAGGGGATGATTAGCTTTAATAAAGACAGACAGTGTTAGTAATACTCGTCCGGGGAAGAGACGACCTGTAGTCTATCGAACGAGCAGAGCTGCTGCAGAATGATCTTCTCTTCTTCCTTCTCAGTGTCAGCCTGTAACTTCAGTCTTCCTGTGAGGAGCTGCTGAATGAGACAAACATCAGCTCTTATATACAGTTACTTATCTCTCCACCTCGTACAAAAACAGGAAACAAAACACAAAAATACAACATAGTTGATTAACAGACACCACAATCTCACCAACCGCGGTGTGAAATACTAATCATCAAAAGTCCAAAGTATCTTTATTGTCCCTTCCAGGGAAATTGGACACGAGCCAGGATCATTCAAAATACACAAACACACCTAAACAGTGGTGGACAGCCAACAGACAGACACAGTTTACAGTTCAGGAGGTTGTTCAGCATCCAGGTCAAGGTAGGTACAAGTAACAATGTAAGCAATCTACAGACAACAGTTTAATAGATCTACTGTTTAACATGTGAATGGAAGAATGGATGATGGAAACCATGTATCTTGGACCTGAGGGGAAGAGCTGAACTTCAATGTTTAGTTGGGACATGTCAAGAAAGGATAGTGGGTGGACACCAAGGGGCGGGGCTTTGGGGTGCAATGCCCATCCATGTGCTTCTCCATCACTTAACCCCTCAACCTCTTCAAGTTCATTTAATGGGAAAAGAAAGAAAATGACACTGAGTAACAATTCCTGCATCCACTGTGAGGTGTGAACATTACATTTGATTTATTTATCTTCTTAGCAAACCTCCAGGGTATGTATGTTGATCTTTTTAAGTATAGATACATTTCATTATTCTCTTGGTCCCAAGACTAGTTGGTCTTTGAAAATCATGTTGATACTGAAACAGTGAAATTGGTGTAATTTAATTTAATGTAATTTGGAACAATCTGCAGGAGCTTGTGAAGTTAGAATCAGAATTTAAATCCTCTTTGAGTGAAATACAGCAGTGTGACTGAATGTGTTTTCTTTGTACTGACATTGTCCTTTATGTTGATGTCCTTGGCCTGTTTGTTCTCTAAGTTATTGATTACTTTAATACTTATTGTTTCACTGGAATCAGGGCTTCATTGTCAAAGGGGGCTTGGTCCCAGCAGCCCTCAGTGTTTATATGAATCTTATAAATAATAGTTGATGCAAACACACACAATTAACTTCCTGAACCCTTCAACCTTTCAGACCTATAGGTTTTCCATGTGACTGGTACAGCTCACGTTCCTGGCTGAGCATGTGAATCTATGTGTCAAAGGTACGATTCATGTTATCAGTTCAGCTACACATCATAAGAGTCTTTATCATGACTTCCACAGAATGTAATTTAACAGTAAATAGTGGGTGTCATGGCAGTGCCCGAGTATTTTCCCTTAAGGTTTATAACCATTTAACACCATTACAACCATCAAACACTGCCCTCACTGATATATCACAAACAATCCTACTTTCTAATTGTGAATAAAAATTGAATGATCTCCTCATTGATTATGAGCAATTACTGTTTTATTATACTTTAAAATTCCTCATTTGTAAGTTGAAAACAAAAACAGAAATAAATGTAAATGTCATTAAAGATTTCTTTACAAAGTGGTAAGAACTAAATATTAAAATAGAAAAAAAAAGTCTAAAAAGTCTGTTACTTTCTCTCTTAAACCGCTGTAGTGGAGGAGAAACAATAATATACAAATACATCTTTACAAATATTCAACAAACACAAGTTTACATTTTCATGCAGAGAAATATCAGTTCAGGTAAACAACAGTCATCATGAGCAGTGATAGCCTCCATGGCTGAACAGACACAGGAAGGAGCGCCACCTAAAGACACTCAAACATTTACAGAACAACTAATGAGAAGATGTCAAAGTACCGCGCACAATGTTTGATTGACAGGTGATCTCTGTGCAGTGAAGAAATGCCACAACAATCAGCTCTCAGAAACAACGGTGGAAACAAAACCATTTGAAGAAATCAAACACTTAACCCACTGTCCCTGAAATCACTTCTGTCTATTTGAGTTTACACAACTCAGCTGTGGATCCAACATAAAGCCAAAGTCCAGCATAGAGAGGCTGAGTGAATGTGGTCTGGACTCAGAGACACAGTAGAAGGACAGAATACCCGCACTGTGATCCAGGTACACTCCAACTCTGGAGGACTGAGGACCTGAGACAGGAGTTCGGACATTGTTGTACCCAAAGTTATAACAGTTTGTGGAAAAATCTAACATCCAAGATTTGTTATTGAATCCAAATACACATTCATATAACGACCCCCCTGCTCAGCTGATATTCTTGTATGCGACTGATACACCAACTCCTCTTCCTCTCCTCTCCACCTCCCAGTAACAACGTCCAGTCAGACTCTCTCTACTCAGGACCTGAACACATCCAGTGAATCTGTCTGGGTGACTAGAATAAGACTGTTGTTGACTCATGAATGTTACTTTTCTCTTTCCTTCAGATAATAACAGATGTGTGTGAGCTCTGTTTGGATCCAGTGTGATTTCACGTGAATATTTTTTATTTAGATGCTATTGTCCGATTCTGTCTATATTATGTATTTTCTATCATTTTCAACAATCATAAATACCTAATAGGCTTCTTCTTTGAGGAATTTAGTGTTCTCCTCTTCTCTGGCACATGACATTTGTTGACACATTTATTAAGTCTCGTACTGTCGACTTTGATTAACCTCGTCCAGCTGGAGATCTTTAAGTGATCGAGCAATGAATCTTCTGTTGTCAAGGTCTTGTGTACGAAGGATTTACAAACTTCTGGGTCTTCAACTGAAATCTCTCCGACCTTAAGACGTTGCTGCTTGGGAATGTCCCTGTAGGACAGCTTGCAGTGCAGCCATCTGACCACAAGATGGTGGTGCAGCTATTTTTTCAGCTCATCCACAAACAGCCATCAAGAGAGAGCATTTGAGAGCTTTGTACTGAACATACATACACCAAGTTGATGAAGGAAAGATGACAGATAATGTTTTTGAATGTGCTTGACCCTTTTGTGCTGTGTTATTATTGTTATTGAAACAAGAATAAAGCAGCAGAAAATAAAGTACCTCAAAATGTACTTAAGTACTTTCCACCACTGGAATAAAGGAAGTGTATGTTAATGTAATATGTAGATAAGTTTGAACTTTAACATTAACATTAAGTGATACATTTTCTTGGCAATCAATAATATTTCAATTCAAAATAACCTGAAACAACAGAAACAAGCAGTTAGAGACATTTACTGGTAAACAAAACTCAATTGTCGACAATTGAATCAATGCTGCATTCAAAACATATTCAGAATAAACAACTTCTGCACACATACAGTATTATTCCCATAATTAGAGGCATTGGCTGGGTGCTGGACTCAATGACACAATATCACTCATAAAGTGAAAATCTAACAATTTACTGTAAAAACAATCTTACAAAATCAACCCTAAAACTGTAATTTTAAAAACACGGTCATGTGAAATTATACATTAACTTTAGATGATTGTTTCTCATCAAAGGACGTTGTACATTTCTGTCACCATTAAAATAATGACGATTTTTGTGCGCTTGACATGGTAACTTGAATTTTTGTAGATAATTATTGACAATGTGAGACACTGCACAAACATTCTTAAATGAAATTCTTAAAAAAAGACCAACTGTGAATTAATCTTCTAACAAGTATTGTGTGTGAATCTTCTTCCTCCGAGCTGAGAGACGCAGAAAGGAAGTAATAAACTGTTGGCGATGTCTTGACATTAACCAAAATGTAGATTATAGCCAGCTTCATCCTTTCTGTAACACGTTTCAACATATTTAACAAGACAACACTTTGTGGATAAATCTAAAAATCACCGGCCTCGTTTAACAACACTTTTAGTGCCGTTGAGTCTGTTAGCTAGAACCTGAACAGGAGCTTCAGTCCTGCGGAGGTCTGATCCCTCCCGGTGGGTCTTAATGTGTCTTTTCATAGAGTGTTTGAATCTGAAGGCCATGTAGCAGACGGGGCACTTGTAAGGTTTCTCCCCGGCGTGGACCTTCATGTGGACCTGACACTTCTGGTGTGTTTTAAACGTTTTGCTGCAGATCTGACAGGCGAACGTCGTTTCTCTGACTGCGTGACTCTGTTTGTGTTTGGATAACGCGTCGAGGCAGCGTAAGGATTTACCGCACAAGTTGCAGCGGTGCAGTCGCTCGTCCGTGTGCTTCAACCTGTGACGCCTGAGATCAATCTTTGAAGTAAATGATTTTTGGCAAAAATCACATTTGTTTGGCTTATCACTCACATGGACCCACATGTGATTCTTTAGCACCCAACTCTGAGCGAACGTTTTGTGGCAGACCTTACAACTGTACGGTTTCTTTCCTTTGTGTCGAGCGACGTGTCCGTTGAGGCCGTTGATGGAGAGGAAAGACTTTCCGCAGATGTTGCAGCTATGAGTTTTCTGGTGACTTTGAAGATGACTCCTCAGCTGCTCTTCAGACTCTGAATGTTTTCCACACACTCCACAAAGCCACTCTGGATCGTCCACATGACTCCAGGCGTGTTTAATCAACATGTTCCCAGTCCCACGCAGAGCTCCGCAGACTTTACAGGACAGAGAGGCGTTGCCGTTATCGGTCGATGCCTTCGTAGACGACTGCTTCATTTGTTTGACTCGTCTCTTCCTCGTCGTCTTCTCAGGTTCACTCTCCCTCACATGTTTCTCTCTCTTGTCTGGCTTCCAGTCATCATCGCTCAGCTCGCCTCCCTCTGCTGCGCTCTCAGAGAGAACCATCAGAGACCAGAGACGACTGACGGCCGACTCCGATCTTCCACCATCTTCATCCTCAGCTTTATCTGTTTCCAGGTCTTTATGTTGTGATCTTGAGCTGATGGACAGAATCAGAGTTACAATGATACACAGAACCTTTGAAAGGCTTTTATTTGATGTCTTAAATCACTGGCACAGAACCTACACAATACCTAAAAGCTTAAACAAATAGTTAACAGAATTAACTTTGATTATTAACAGTCCAGCTTATAGGAATCAATTATTTGGCTGCATCTGTCTATACAATAAAATACATGAATTTACCATTTAGTACATTTAAGTATGTGATTTAAATCTTGAACAATCCTCTCATTCATAGAGAACAATGTGGGGGGCTAGCATTCACTTGATGTAGCTCTCTTAGTTTAGTTTCTGTTGTTGAGATATATTATACATATAACAGTCAACTAAACCTTTAAGTCTCCTATTAGCTGACTATACCTGCACTGGTAGCCGGGGGAGTGTCAGAGGGAAAACCAGACAATATTTTCTCTGTAAAATCATTGAATAAAGTCATAAAGTTGTGCTTTTGTACAGTAATCAGTGAGGCCATAGATGTCTGTAATACATCGGCCCTCAGAAATGCTCCAGCAGCGTCATCAGAGAGAGAAAGGACGCAAAATGAGTGCCCGGAAATACTTAGAAAATGAATTTTCTGCCATTGTTGGGACAGATGCTGGCATATAGGTGACGTATATCTTAAGACATATGTGATAAACACTTACACACCAATTTTAACATCTTGGAGATTTTAATAATATTATTTAAAACATTCTGTCTCAGCCTCGGAACAAAAATTACTAATGCTCATAAAGTCAGATACAGAGAACAAACATTTTGTATTTAATATAATAATAATAGCCTGATTTACCTTGTTGTGTTCAGCCTGCTTAGATCAGAAGTGGATGAAGAAACTTTAACAGCGTGATGAAGCTCTTTTTCACTGGTCTGGAGTTCCTCTTGTGCCTGAAAGAGTTTTGTACCCAAATCATATTTCCATCAAAAAGCAGCGACATCCTCTTTAACTGCACAGAAGTACCTGCTAGCATCAAAGGATTTCCTGTGAATGTGCAGTAGATAATTTCAGAAATCAGACCTTCAGGCGGATGTAGAGGGCTGAGTTTCCCGATCCACTCAGCCCGATGCTCCTGTAGATCTCCTCTGGTGTCAGTGCCTCCGCTCTGAGCGGCTGTAGTCTCTTCGTTTTGTCAGTTAAGAAGAAGTCAAAAGTTTCCTGAGCAGCCAGTTGAGGGAAGTTGGACCTCAGCAGGTCCATAAAGTCCGTCTCCTGCAGGCCATGAGGACACTGCAGCTTGCGAAGCTTATACATCTTATACACTGAAACACAAGAGGGAAACTTTCTCCAGTATTTAAACCATCTAAAGTCGATATAGCCCTCTTTTAGTTTCTGAAACTGAAACAGTCTAAAGAATGTTTTTATTTTTCAACCCAAAAAGATTCTGGGTGACATAAAATACCTAAAAACTCCCCAGAGTCCCCAAACCTGCTCTTCATGAGATAAACCAGACGTGATCAGTGCTGGAGGAAATATTCAGATAATTTACTTGAGTAAAATTACAAATACAATACTATAAAAACACTGTTTCAAATAAAAGTAATTTAAAAATTTGAAAACGTATGACAAAGAGTTTTTAAACTGGTTTTGAGCCTCTAACACCTACTATAGAAGGTTTCATCAAAAGTAGGGATGCACCGATCCACATTTTTTCACTTCCGATACCTAAATTTGGATATTGGCCGATACTGATACTATTCCGATACCAGAGCTTTAATATTATTATTATCATTATTGTTGATTTTATATGAGGCTGAAATAAACTCCTCTCAACAGGCAAGTATGATAAGTACGTATGTATGTATGTCCCAAAAGGCAACTTGAGGTAAGTATAAGGTCAGAAAAGGAAGTCAGAAAAACAGGAAATCCTGTTAACAGGAAAAATCCCATCCTGAAAACAAATATGCAACTGTAAGGGTTTCAAATTGATTGTCATGTCAATATTTATTAAATTCCCAAAATGTCAAATAATTGAAATATAAGAAAAGTGCAGTAAGTGTAAACATCTTAAACATCTTACACACCCACACACACCCACACACACCCACACACACACACACAGTTTACCTTGTTTTTGGAATGACTCCAGAAGTGATTCCTGACAGCTCCTTTTGTCTTTCTGCCCCCTGGCTAAATAATCCTTGTGCTCTTTCGTGTGATGCTTTTTAAATGTTTGATTACGTTCGTAGTGTACGACGCGAGGGAGTTTCCACCTCTCTGAATCGCGGCTTTGCTAGCTGGCTGCAAACTGCGGAATGGATTTCCTGAGCGGAGGCTGTGTCTCATAACTCTGTGTCTCATTGAGCCGAACCTCCGTTCAGGAAATCCATTCCACAGTTTGCAGCCAGCTAGCAGACTGGCCTGCAGGAATCACTTGTGGAGTAATTTCAGCAGACAACGTTAAAGCGCAGATGGCTTATGGATCGGATATCTCCGCAGGCTGGATCGGGAAATTCCGTTCCGTGAATTACGCTGGTATCGGTCCCGATACCGATACTGGATCTGATCGGCCCCATCCCTAATCAAAAGTGAACTGAATTCTGAATACAGATCTATAAATTTACCGTTTCTTGAGAGCACATTGATGCGATAGTCCTCCAGGATGCAGATCCTGAGATCTATGTGGTTCTGATGTTCACTTGTCTGACGTCTGCTGGGCTTCCTCTTGTCAGACTGAACTCTGGGTGACAATAACATAAAGGATCAGAAGAAGAAT